CACCCCCCTTGTTTTGTAAAACTCTATCTCAACTCCTACCTTTTTTTTTTNTTTAGCCTATTTCAATTAATTGTGAGTTTTTGGTTTTGATGCTTTAATTTTACAAGTTGTATATGAAATTGAATGAATTGGATACATGTTTGATGATTTTGAGTTTTTTATTTGATCTTATAGACATTAAGCATTCTATTTTCATAATTATTGTGATTTTTTAGTTTATTTATAATTATTTTTTATTTTTTTATTATATAACCAATTCAACTAGTGGCACAATAGTTAAACTAGTGACCCATTGACCCAATTCCTTCCCCTAACTGTTAATGGCAGTAGATGGCAAGACCTACAAAGGGAGAATTTCATTTTGCATCTCAAAAAGATTTAAGTTTTTCTACTTTACACCCTTCAAGATGAGAATTCTTGTACGGTACCTTAATATATTAAAAAGTGAAAATTGAGGCTGAATCTACCTCAATTGACTTATAATAAATTTAATCCGTCAAGAAAAATTGTTTAGAGATAAGTCTGTTTTTAATCTTATTAATAAATAGTTAAGTTCACTATTTTTTTTAAACTCTAAAATATCATTCATTAAAAAAAGGTTAAATTAATTTCCTATTTTGGAAATTGTTATCCCTTAATTCAATGTCAATTAAAATATGTTAAGAGCATCTTCAATCTTGACTCAAATTTAAATTTGAGTCAAAATGGTCTAAAAAACTTCTCCAACCATTGGCTCAAACTCATACTAAATCAAGGCAAAACTTATTCTAGACCTAAATTAAAGCAGATTCAAATTCTATATCAAATTTCTAACGGTAACTTTTTAACCTATCTAAAACTAAAAGACTTTTTTGACAACTTGTTTTTTTGTCTTTTCTTATCTTTCTCTACGATACTGCTTCCATCGCCGACTATCACTGAAACTTTTACAAATCATTTGAGGGCCATTAGGTAAATTTTTTGCTTTTCATCTTTCATCTTCTTAATTTCTTGTATTTTTTAAAAATCTAATCTCACTCATCTTTTATATTGTATAAACCCTAAGATTACCCATCAAATTTTTCTTTGATTTTTTCAAGTTAAACACTATCGGTAGTACAATTTCAAACCATTGATTCTTCCTGAAATTTTAAACCTTTGGTACGCACAAATTTAGAAAATTTGTCATTTTATTTCTTTAATCTTCCATTTTTGTTAAAAAAAAAAGTATGTTTTTGTGTTTTTCAGACCATACCCATGTTAAGTATTTTTTTTCTTTATCTAGATTTATAAAAAATGATAAGGGATTATAATAATTTTAGAATTCTGATGTGGTTTCTTTATTTTCATATAGTGTTATATACATTTTCATTTTTTTTTAATTATCCATTTGTGAAAAGATAAAAGTTTCATTTATTTTATCAAATATTATGATTTGAATGACAAAAAAATAAGTTTTGGGATAATAAGAGAATTTTTTAAAAGATTTGAGTAGATATTTGAGTTTGTCTATTGGAGTACTCTATACCAAATCAAGCTTTTTACTCAAAGTTGAGTCTAAATTTAAGTTATAGTTGGAGATGCTCTAATAAAATCTTCATTATAAATTTAAAATTCAAAGCTCCCTCTCTCTCTCTCTCTCTAGCTAGCTAGTGGCGACATTGTCGTGGTTGCAAGTGATGCTGAATCCATCGAGTAACAAGAATAGCCTCTTCTCTCACCTCCGTANGCGACATTGTCGTGGTCGCAAGTGATGCTGAATCCATCGAGTAACTGGTTTGCAACTTAGCACAAGAATAGTCTTTTCTCTCACCTCCGCAGATATGGTTAATGTTTCAAAAAAAATTATTTGTCCGTTCTTTCTCTGTTTCTCAAAACTCAAATTGTTGTTTCATATTATCTATATGTGTGTATTTGTTTTATATTATTTATCTATGTGTGTATTTTTTAAAAATATTATTATTTTTTGGACTTGAATATTTCATGTTACTATTTTGTTATTATATTACTGTTTATATTACTGTTTTTGTTAAGTATGTTACTGTTCACGTTATTATTATTTTGAGCATATTACTATTTTTTAAAAAAATATTAATATATATATATATAAAAAAAAAGTAAAATTTAACCGAGAAAGAATAGTAAAAATAGTAAAATTCAAATATAAAAAAAAAGTTATCATTTAAACACAAAAAATAATATCATTTAACTTATATATGTATATAATATGAGAGAAAGATATAATCCTAACTTATATATGGATATAAATAGATATGAGAGAATTTTTTTTTTAATATTAGTCAAATTCTTAAAATTTAGGAGATTTTAATTTTTAGTTTTACTTTGCTTCTAAATAGAATGAATAGTTTGGTAAAATTGACAAAAAACAAACTTCATAATAAATAAGTTTATTTGACAGACTTAAGTTTAAAGAAGTCCATATAGAGGGACCGACTTCCAAATTTCTCTATTAAAAATATTATAATGTGACACTTTTATTAGTTTTCGTTGTTTATTTCGTCAAAATTCACTTATTAAAGTTGATTGAATGAGTAATGGAAATTAACAGAAAAGTTACATTACAACATTTTTTAATATATTGAGAATATGATGTAAAAAATATAGGCCCTATTTGGGTTGCATCTAAAAAAAAAAGTATCTGCAAATAATTTTTGGGAAGAGTTTTAAAAAAACGTGTTTTAATATTTTTTTGTACCTCAGAACTTGCTTCGTTATATGATTTTAAAAACAGTTTTACGGAACAGAAAACAAAAAAACTTGTTTGTACATTAGCCTAAAAAATAATGAAAACAATAATCCAAATAACCAAAAGAAATTTGGTTCAAATCATGTTATACCAAACTTTAATTTCTTCTTAATTATCAAAATAAAATACCAATAATTTTTTCTCAATCATCACATATTTTGGATTTTCTCAATTCGCCACAGGTCTAGTTTTTTCTTCTCAATTCATCACTAATCTGGTTTCAATTCGTTGGTTTCTTCTCAATTCGTCACAGATTTGTTTTTTTTTGGTCAGATCCAAAGAACACAAACACAATACCAAAATAATAACAAATAACCAAAGAAATTTCTGTTAAAACAAAATATGGTTTTATAGATCTTGTTAAATCCAAATATGGTTTTACAGATCTCGTAAAAACCAGATCTGTAAAGCACGTACAGATGCTTATGAGAAAGAGAAAGAGAAGGCAATCGGCGTTCATTGTCGACCTTCGGCCTTTGTCGGTGCTCGTACAGATGTTGGTCAACGACGCACAGATGTTGTCGACCTTCGGCCTTCGTTGATACCGTGAAGAAAGAGAAGGAGAAGGCGAAAGATGTCTTCGTCTGTGCTCTGAAAAAGGAGAAGCAGAAGGCGACATGCGTTCATTGATTTAGAGTGGAGAAAAATTGGGGATTTTTAGGCTTTATATAGTATATGTATATTTTGTAGCCAAGGAGATTTGATGTTGGGATCTCATTAACTAGACTTGTATTTTGCTGTTTCCGTGTTTTCCAAATTTGTTCTTAAATTTGGCCAAAATACCCCCCTTGTTTTGTAAAACTCTATCTCAACTCCTACCTTTTTTTTTCTTCTTGAAAATTAGAGATTGAAAAATTTAACCAATTAGATTTTCCTTATTTTTTGTGATTTGAGAACAAAAAATTATTTTGTAAACACAAACCAAATAGACTCATAATATTTGAAGGTAAAAAATGAGAATACTTAAATATTTCAAGATGTAAAATACAATTAGCCCACTTGCAAACCCAACACGAAATCATTGAATTTTATCATTACAATTTTAGGATGATAAATTGATGGATCTTTTTAGATCCGTTTAACCAGACGAGTTGATACAAATATAATTAAATACGATATGAATTTTTTGAATTTAACATAGTTTATACACAACATAAATTGATACAAATTTGACCACACACTATTATAAATGATTGAATTTATATTGAACAAATTTTGATTAGATGCGACATAAATCTATTCCCATCACGTGACAGTTGAAAGTTGCCTTGTTACGGGCCCAGGGCCGTGGGCTTTTTCCTACCCATTAGTCCCGACCAGACACATTACCATCTCTAATTATAAACCGTGGGACTTGGGTTGACGTGACTAACAGTTGATCTCTAGAAAGATCTCGACGTATAAGGGCTGTGACAGTTGAAGCTCGCGACACGACTACTATAAGTCAAGTTCAAAGCGCTGTTAATCACCTGGGAACAGGACAATCGTGTTGTGGGAACACACGGAGGTGGAGTCTTGGACGTCTGATTTTGGGTGGATAAGCACAAATGGTATGCTTTTCGGTGCGGATTTTCATCAAACACCTTCCATTCATGTANGAACAAAAAATTATTTTGTAAACACAAACCAAATAGACTCATAATATTTGAAGGTCAAAAATGAGAATACTTAAATATTTCAGGATGTAAAATACAATTCACCCACTTGCAAACCTAACATGAAATCATTGAATTTTATCATTACAATTTTAGGATGATAAATTGATGGATCTTTTTATATCCGTCTAACTAGACGAGTTGATACAAATATAATTAAATACGATATGAATTTTTTAAATTTAACATAATTTATACACAACATAAATCGATACAAATTTGACCACACACTATTAAAAATGATTGAATTTATATTGAACAAATTTTGATTAGATACGACATAAATCTATTCCCATCACGTGACAGTTGAAAGTTGCCTTGTTACGGGCCCAGAGCCGTGGCCTTTTTCCTACCCATTAGTCCCGACCAGACACATTACCATCTCTAATTATAAACCGTGGGACTTGGGTTGACGTGACTAACAGGTTGATCTCTAGAAAGATCTCGACGTATAAGGGCTGTGACAGTTGAAGCTCGCGACACGACTACTATAAGCCAAGTTCAAAGCGCTGTTAAATCACCTGGGAACAGGACAATCGTGTTGTGGGAACACACGGAGGTGGAGTCTTGGACGTCTGATTTTGGGTGGATACGCACAAATGGTATGCTTTTCGGTGCGGATTTTCATCAAACACCTTCCATTCATGTATTTTGATGAAGAACTCGCATGTATGTGTTCACTTGTTTTGTGGGTTTTGCAGTCAGTGACGATTCACACTAATTTCGGCGACATTAAGTGCGAGATCTCTTGCGATGAAGTCCCCAAAGCAGCCGAGGTTAGTGTAATCTTGTACCCTATTCACTGTATTATGCTTTACAATTTGTCTTTTTGAGAAAGCTGTTGCGACCCCCCCCCCCTCTTACACACACACAAAAAAAAAAAAAGAAGAAAGAAACTGTTCATTCAATTCTAAGAGAGGAAGACTAGATTCATTTGGGTGAAGTCATGAACATGGAAATATTTATCTAGCCATGGGGGCAAAAAGCGCTGTAAACATTAAAGATTGGAATTGAAAGATTTTTTAATGATGAATTTGGCCATATCCAATGAACTGCCGGTTGACAGTTAAAAGAGTAAGGAAAGGCATTAGCACATGCTTTCTTGAGCTAGTCTGCAAAATGGTGAGATAGTTCATATGGTTTGACCGGCGTTTCTGGGCTTTAGTTTGTGCTGATTTCTACCTACGTTAAAAAATGTATGGTTGTATGATTCTGACTTTTGGCATTGAATAAAACCTAAATGAGTGATGATGGGTGTGATGTTCGTAACGATGCTACTCACTTATCTAGAATCTTTTTTGCATTATTGGTTATTACCGTGTACATGTAATGGGTTTTCTTGTTGATGCTCCATCCTTAACTGAATTGAACAATATCTCATTCCAACTTTTCATTGTCATCTACACAAATCCTGCATTGCAAATCTGCCATGTTTTGCAGTTAATTTGGTTTGCTATTTTAGGTGCATATGATAAAGACTCAGACCACTAGGCATTTATTCTAGGATGAACATGTGTATGAATGGATGGAATGAACCTTGTGCTTTGCAGATTTCTGGAGAAGGAAACGAGTGGTAATAAAAACATGGGATACTCATTTGTTTAAAAATGAGAGGAGAACGCTGGATTCCTCATTTGTTGAAGAATGTGCTAGCATGGTTTATCCTTTTCCTTTACGGAAATGAGATCTGGTTTCTCGTATGGCACATTGTTGGGCCAACCATATGATGTACACCGGTCTTGAGTACTGTTGATAGTTTTTAATATTTTTATCGATTGGGGAGGGATTTTAGGAATTTATCCTTCAAAATTTGTTATTTGGGCCTTATTGGAATTGAAATTGTTGAAGCCTAGGGAATGGTGGAGTGTGCCTTTTTTCACTTTGCACGACAGTGAACTAGTTCAATAATTACATGTTTGTAGAGGGGGTCAAAATCAGTTTAAAAACAATAAATAATAAGGGATGAAAATGACAGATTTTCATTTTTTTTTTTGACAGAAAACAAAAACTTTTATTCATAAACAGTTACAAGTGGACTAGAAATCAAAATGAAAGATTTCAATCATCAACTTCATCATCCTATCACATATGTTGACGTTCATTTGGTGCCCTTTACTTTTTAACCATCTTCACTTGTTGGGTGCAATTGCAGTGCCAGATGTGAAATAGAAACTGTATTTGATTTTTGAAAGGCCTCCGTAGTTAAGTAACTACTGGCACAACTGTAGTCATCACCTTTATACTCATGCATTGTGTATGTATCTGCTGACAATTATCATCTATTTTTTTTTTCCCGGGTCCTAAACTAGATTTTGAAATGGATCAGGCACCAGCCTTTTAAATCTTTATGACACATTTGTGTTGTCCTGATTACCCATGATGTATGTTGTTATATAATTTTCAGTATTTTGGATGGTTTTGTATGAAAATTGCAAAAAATAAAAAACCGATTCTTTAGCCCTGCAATTTGTAATTTTGTATGAGATACATTGTCAAATACAGTTTTTTATCGCTTCTATTAATGACACGCCTCCCAGCTAGCAATATTAATATTGTGTTTGGATACAGAATTTTTTGGCATTATGTGCCAGTGGCTATTATGATGGAACCATATTCCACAGAAATATAAAGGGTTTTATGATCCAAGGTGGAGACCCAACAGGCACAGGAAAAGGTGGGACCAGTATATGGGGCAAGAAATTCAATGATGAGATAAGAGAATCTCTGAAGGTAAATTCTTGATGAGCTCCCTGAGTTTTTGATATTTGGCTATTGCCTTCTGCAGTTCTTCCGGAACTTCTTTCTTAAAAATGGAGTGTGTTGTAATCTCAGTTGAAACTTGTGCTGGTATAATTTGTTTCCTTCACCAATGGTGGGGGAGTTCGGCAGTTTTTTTTGTCCCCTGGATATACAAGCCTCTGGCCAATTGCAAGACCTGTGAGTCGATTTAAAGTACAAAGGAAAGTTCAATCAGCTTAGTAAGCTCTAGCATAGCTGTTGTGGGCACCTAAAAAAGGCCACTACCTAGCCTGGTCTTGTTAGCCGAAGGCTCTAGGAGGGGTGGACTGAGTACAAATGTTGCTTTCATATTCTTGTGGTTGTTGGCCCAAACATTTGCCATTGCACCTCAGTGTGTGAGCATCTCCTGAGGACAATTTTAGCGTGTGTGGGGAGGGTTTTTTAGGAAGAGGGTGGTGGGGTGTTGAAGAAGGATGCCGTTGGTTGGAACTCGTCTGAATACTTCTTGTAGGTGGATGCAGACATGCTACTATTCAAGTCCCCAGACTTTTAGATAATATCGTAACATGCTGAGAAAGAAAATATTTGTTTGATTAAATTCGCTGCATAGAGCAAGTTTAGAATTGTTTATTTTCAATATCGAAACATGCTGAGAAAAGTAGAATTGTGCATTTCAATGTGATGATTTCTCTTCTGGTCACTTATGCAGCACAATGCTAGGGGGATACTATCAATGGCCAATAGTGGTCCCAATACCAATGGAAGTCAGTTCTTCATAACTTATGCAAAACAACCACATCTCAATGGATTGTACACCATCTTTGGCAAAGTTATTCATGGGTTTGAAGTTCTAGATATCATGGAAAAGGTATGCTTGCTAAGGTTAATAATTTATTGTCCATGGGTCAGGATATGTGGTTCAAACCTTTGCCCAGTATCTTTTTATCACCCAATTATCCTTGACGTTAATATTTTCACTAGTGAGGCCCTATATTTGTAACCTGAACAACCCTTGTGTTAATGCGCCTGTTATGGTGCTTGTGAACATACTTGACACAAATATATTGAGGAGTTTGTTATTAATAAACTTGTTTTGGGTTTTATGCAGACTCCAACGGGACCAGGGGATCGACCTCTGGCAGAGACAAGAATCAATCGTGTGACTATACACGCCAACCCACTCGCTAACTAGCCTTGCACCAAAACGTCTCTGGTATGTGAGCTCCTTGTATGAAGGTCAAAGGAGCAGAATGTCTGTAATGGTAACATATTTTCAATTTGTCAGTTTCACCTGTCAGCTTCAACCGCTGACAGTTAATAGACTTGTATTTGAAGTTTAGAAAGAATGCAGCAAAAGAACAACGGGGGAAATCAAATTGTGTTAACNCCGCTGACAGTTAATAGACTTGTATTTGAAGTTTAGAAAGAATGCAGCAAAAGAATAACGGGGGAAATCAAATTGTGTTAACTGCATTTTTGCATGTAGCAGGACTTTGATCGTCCTGGAATTTCATTATTACGAATTTGAAGGGTAGTTCAAGTGGTAATAGGGATGAATTGTAAATTCAGATGTCTTGAGTTTGAATTTTAATAGCCCTTTAGGACTAGATTATAAAGAATTTATCCCTTATGAATATTTTAATTTCAGCGTGGATGATTTACTTTTAACGGGACTGAAAAGGAGATTAATCGAAGTGTGTGTAAGTTGATTTAGACATTTATAACCGTTGAACTAAAAAATAAAATAAATTATTAGTAACTATTGGATTTGAAACAATTTAAATTGGCTAATGGAAGTCGAGGACAAACACATTAGGGACTAGAATTTTTGTTGGATTGGTTCTCAACCATTCAATTTTTGTCAACTTTCCAAAGTGAAAAATATAAATTATAATTTTTGTTATTCAATTTTTATCGTCGTTTTCATTTGAAGCAAGGTAGCATTTTTTGAAAACTTAAAAGGGTTGAAGTATTACGAGCTTACAATAAAAAAGAGGGGCATCACTGTATTTTACCTAAAAAAAACAAAAGGTAAAATGGGATATAAAGGAGGTCGGGCATTGTACCCCTAGGGCTTGTTATGATGTATTTTGGAGAGGGATTTGGATTGGTTTTTTAAAATTATTTTAAACTTAAATGTTTTTTTACAAAGATGAGATTTAATATTTAATTTAATTTATACTTGTATTTGGTATGTAATACATACACATGTAAGATTACATATATATCATAATTATGTCTTAAAAATGACTATTTTATTTTTGATTAATCCAATTCATAACTATGTTAAAAGATATAATTGTTTTGTAAATCCTTAACTTTTTACTCATCTACTCAAATTCACATTCTCTTAGTTTTACAAAATTCATAATTATAAGTTTAATTTTCAAGCTAATTACGAACTGTGTTTGAAAACTCTGGACTGAAATTTTTGTATAAACATGAGATTTATGTATCATTTGAACTATTTTTTTTAAACTTATCTTATCAAATTTCCTCGTAGTCTTTCGTCAAACAGCCCCATAAGGCCTAAACAAGTGGCCCGCACTTCTTGTTCACTCGACTATCTTGAGAGCGGACCATAGTTCCCAAAATTTTATTTCAATACATTATTTTAAATTATTTAAAAATTAAAAATAGAATAAAATAAATAAATAATTCAAAATATTAGTCAAAATAACAAAAATATTTTTAAATATTATAAAAAATATTTCAATTTAATCATTCATTTTTTTTTGATTAAACTTCATTCATTTATTCAGTCTTGCTTTTGTATAAACAAAAATAAAATTTGGATGTTTGTTTGATTTAACGGTGGGGTGCCTACAAGCATTTTGATGCCAGAATTAAAATATTTATAAAAAAAAATTATCAAAATTCGAACCAATGGTTAGCTCGTTGCTCTCCACTTGAGCGGGGGTTAAATTTGGATGCTTCCAATAGCAACCCAACTTCCCTGAGCACACAAAACTGGGACTTAGGGTTGCAAAAATCGCCACCATCAAAACCCTCTCCCTGTCTACTAAGCTATCTCTGTACATCTGCAAACATATACAGGTTGAATGGCGAAGGAAGATGAGAACCCAACAACTCCAGTGGCGTCAAAGCCGAGTCCCAGTCCAAGTCCCAAAGACCAATTTCCTTCTCAAACCAGTTCGTCCCACCCTAACAACAACAACAACAACAACAACAACAACAACAACAATGACAACAATTCTCCGCCATTGAAGGAGCCGTTAAACTCCAAAGAGTTCCTGGTATCGGTGGCCTCGACGATCGCCTCTCAGCCTCTTCAAAACTCTGATCCTGACGTCTGGGGTGTCCTCACCGCTATCTCCACCAAGGCCCGTAAGCGCCACCAGGTCACATCATCTCTAAGCCCCTACCAAAACCCTTCATTTTTTGAGTTATTTTTTTTTCTCTTATATCAATTTACTGGTTCAATTCCATGTCATGTCGGTTATAATTGTGTAAATTTGTAATATGAAGTGTTATTGCAAGCAATGTGGAGTCAATATTTGTAAGTTGAAGAAATGAGTTCCTAGTCGTTGAACCTCAATTTTTATGTGTTTGTCTCATGTTGCTTTTGGAGCTTTGATCTTTGAAGCATCTTTGACCATGGAATTAGGGTGAGAATTCACGAAATTAGTATAGAATTTTTTCAATGCTGTATTGGGTGGCCAAAATATAAGTTTAGTAATATTTTAAGGGTATTTTCTGCATGCTAACTTTTGAATTGGCCTGTAGCACAGCGTCTTCATTCATGCTCTACATTGTCAATACACTTGTTATGGGTTTGTATATTTTATCTGTTTGACATGAATTTTAGCTGATGATGTTGACAAACCAGGGTATAAATATGCTTTTGAGTTCAGATGAACACTGCATTGGCCGACTAGTAGAAGATGGTCGTTTCCAGATTGTATCACCTGCAATTAGTGCATGTCATTGCAAAATTTATAGGAAGAGGGTTGCTAATGAAGATGTGGGGCATCCTTCCAACTTCTACACTTCCATTTTCTTGAAAGATACTAGGTTGTATATTGTTTGCTTCATTTATGGGATGCACTACAAAATGAGAATTTTCTGACCTTGTTGAGCATTCTGCAGCACAAATGGAACATTTCTCAACTGGGAAAAGTTGACTAAAAGTAGCTCTGAAGCTAAACTCCATCATGGTGACATTATATCATTTGCAGCTCCTCCTCAACATGGTAAAAATGTTAGCATTTTAAGGTTCACGTGCTCCCCCTTCCAGACATTACTTTTTATATGGAGATGGGGT